ATATAAATGAGATTTAGGGAAAATCTCTGTGCCAAAAAATGTGACTCACTTATTTCCTGCAACTAGTAATCAATAGAAACATAACCAAACAGCTTTAAATAAAGAATTATAAAGTATAATTATATAAATATAAAGTATAATTTATTTATAATAGGTAATATATTTCGAAATATTTCATAATCTAGGGGTCCTCCTTTATTTTGAATAACCTTTTCAGCCTTTTTTGGCATTGACTTTATTAGGTTACTGCAAATTTTATCTACAAACACTGAATTCCATTCAGATATGAAATTCACAATCAAATCCTCTTTGTTGCTCAGCTGCTTTCTCGAGAGCCTGAACTTTATAATGCTCCATAAGTTGTCTATGGGGTTGAGGTCAGGAGATTGGGGCGGCCATGTCATAACACCCACCTTCTTCTCATCAATGTATTCCTTCATCAATTGTCATTTGTGACAGGGAGCATTATCCTGCATAAAAAGAAGCTTGGTGGTGTTGAATTTCAGGAGAAGGGAGCAGACAAGACTTTAAATTTCTCTTGTACTGCTCGCTCCTGAGGGTCTTTTCAATAGGTTTTAAAAAAATAGAAACGGCCTACCTCACAAACGTTCTCGCATCTGCCTGGCCTGTGGGTTGAGAAAGGAAAGAAAAGATTCAAAATGGCGTCCGTGACTTTTAATATTCACGGTCTCGTGCAGTCACGCAAAGTCGCGTTACACACATGCTAATGAGGTGTGTCTGGGCTCCATAAAAGCAGGTTGCTTGGAGACATTGGCAGACCAACATTTCACCCGTGCTTGGTGTACATCGTTTTGCGTTGCAGCGTGTCAGACATTTTCAGACGGAAAGAGTTGCGTCCCTTACACTGTTTAAGTCGACTCATTTGCTACAAGCTATTTCGGCAATTATTACAGCATGGACAGATTCGACTTGAAGTTAATACCAGAGTTCGACGGCTTCCCCGCTGGCCCGTCTGTGGTCGAGTGGTGGGAAAAGGCCGAGCGGGTCTGCCGGCTGTGTAAAATTAAAAGATCCCGCACTGGTTATCCCTCTTAGACTCACCAAAGGAGCTTACGCTGTGTATCAGCAGCTAAGGGATGACGCAGACTTGGAGGAAATAAAACAAGCTCTATACGCAGCATTTGGTGCGGACCCCTTTGTCGCCTGGAGGCAGTTTACCGAACGACGGCTTGGACCGGATGAAACAGTAGATGTCTTTCTGGCCGATTTGAGGAAGCTGGCCGCACCGTTCGGTGGAGCAAGCGACCAAATCCTAGGATGCGCCTTTCTGGCAGGACTCCCCAGACAACGCAAGTCGACTGCTACGAGCATCGTCAAGGCTCAATGAGCTGGGGCTAGACGAATTACTGGCCAGAGCCCGGAATATTCTAAAAGATGACGCGGAGCCGGCCTCAGCAGCTGTGGAAGCACCCGCACCGCCAACTGAGGACATAAGGTGCTATAAATGTGGCGGACTGAACCACTTCTCCAAAGACTGCCGAAGCGGTGCGAAGGATACGCATAACCGAGGAACACGGAGACGTATGCGTTGCTACAGGTGCGACAAGCTGGGCCACGTAGCAAGAAGCTGTCCGGGAAACGGGCAAGGGGAGTAAGCTACAGCGCCAGTCTTCTCCCCAGATCGCCGCTGAACAAGGCGCTACCCGCAGTGAGCGTGCGGATTAACGGGCGTGAGCGCTTCGCGCTTGTTGACACCGGGTGCACCCAGACCCTTGTGCGCAAGGCATGTTGTGACACGTGGGACAAAAAAAGTATTCCAGTTCTGACTGTTGGCGGGGCTCGCTAACCTCTTGTGGAGTGAGCGTCATCCGCGCAAGCATCGGCGATGGGCCTGCAGTAGCTGTACAAGCCCTGGTCGTGGACGGAGGGCTGCTCGGCTATGATCTGCTCCTGGGAATGGACGTCATCAAAAAATTGGGTGGTGTCCGTGTTGACGAAGAGGGTCGGGCGCGTTTCACTGAAACAGGTCTAGCTCTAGGTGCAGCAATGGAGCTGGAACGGCCTGACTTTCGTGCGGAGTTCGACCAGCGCACAAAGTCCTGGACGGTATCTTGGAAATGGTCAGACGATCAACCGCCAGAGAAGCTGTACAACAGTGTGCCGGAGTATAAGATCCCCCCCGCGAGCTCGTGCGGAGTACGACAAGGAATTGCGAGCCTGGATTAATAACGGGTGGTTGGTTCCTTATCCAGAGAAGGAATTGGGGCCCCAAAGGGCCTGATCCCGCTAATGGCGGTTCTCCAGCACAACAAACAAAAAGTGAGGCCGGTGCTCGACTATCGAGAACTGAACGAGCACGTGGACCCTTTACTGCCCGCGCGGACGTGTGTACCGAGAAGCCTAAGGGAATGGCGACAAGCAGGATCAAATGTATCTGTGCTGGATCTTCGCAAGGCATACCTTCAAGTGCGTGTGCACCAATCACTGTGGCCCTATCAAACCGTGCTTATCAAGGGGCAACGGTATTGCCTGACCCGCATGGGGTTTGGACTCAATGTGGCGCCATCGATTATGCAGATGATTGTTGACGCCATTCTAACGAAGGATGAGCGCATACAGCGGGCAACATCTGCATATATTGATGACGTGTACGTGAACGAGGGAGTCATATCTGCGGCGCGCGTGAAGGAGCATCTCTACAATTTTGGCCTCCTCAGCAAGGAACCGGAGAGACTACAGGATGGTGCACGGGTGCTTGGTTTGCAGGTCTGGGGAGAAGATGACGTCCTGTATTGGAAACGGGGAAACGAACTCCCAGACATGCCCTCCGTTGTCACGCGGCGAAGCATATTTTCCTTGTGCGGCAAGTTAGTTGGACACCTTCCTGTAGGTGGCTGGCTGCGTGTTGCGGTGGCGTTTATCAAGCGGAGAGCATCTGACGTCACCACTGGATGGGATGACGAAGTTCACGACGCCCCTCTCAACACCATGATGAAGGAGGTCCTCGCTAGAGTACGCAAGGAAGACCCAGCGCGGGGCAGATGGTGCGTTGACAGCCAAGACCTCTGTGTGTGGGTTGACGCAAGCTCTCTTGCAACCGGCGTATCGATAGTTCACGATGGAGCCGTGGTAGAAGATGCTTGCTGGTTACGTCCAGAAAGGGACTCCCAGCACATAAACCTAGCGGAGCTCGATGCTGTCATCAAGGGGATCAACTTGGCGATCCTCTGGAAGTCGACCACCCTGCGTCTGTTCACTGATTCCGCTTGCGTTTATAAGTGGATCTCTGATACCTTGACCGGGAGGGCCAGGGTGCGGACTAAAGCCACCAGCGAGATGCTTATCCGACGACGGCTCGACACGATCGTGAATTTAGTGCAAGAGTACGCACTGACAATGGAGGTGTCCCTGGTCAAATCTAGCCTCAACAAAGCAGATTGTTTAACGAGGGTGCCGCAAAGGTGGCTTGACGCCGCTAAGAAAGCCATTGAGCCCGTGCAACCAGCCTGCGCTGCGTCCGTGAGTCCCGTTCGATTTAATCAAATCAAAGAAGTCCACCAACAAAGTGGGCACCCTGGAGTCAAGCGGACACTGTATTTCGCCAAGTTGGTTGACCCAGGAGTACAAAAGACAGACGTCAGGAGAGTGGTCAGAAGCTGCGTGGCGTGCCAGTCTATAGACCCAGCACCCGTTCGCTGGAAGAAAGGGCAGCTGAGCGTGAGGAACCACTGGAGCCGGCTGGCGATAGATGTTACTCACCACAACGGCGAGCATTTCCTGACACTCATTGATTGTGGTCCATCCAGGTTTGCGATATGGCGACTGCTGCGTCGGCAAGATGCAGCCACTATCATCCGTCAGTTAAACAGCATCTTTCTTGAACGTGGCCCCCCAACGGAGATATTAACCGACAATGGCACCGCATTCACCAGCGAGCAGTTCGGGAAGTTTGCGGATGGCTGGGGAGTGCACTTATGGTTCCGGTGCGCCCACGTACCGAGTGGAAATGGAATCATCGAGCGGAACCACAGGACCGTCAAGACCATCGCAGCCAGGACGGGCTGCGCGGTGTCTGAGGCGGTCTACTTATACAACGTGACCCCGAAGGATGATTTCTCACCCTCTACGGCGCCAGCAGACACATTGCATAGGTACACGTTAGAGTGAAGGGCAAAGAAACCAACCCACTGACGGAACTGAAAGTAACCGGAGAGAGGCTGAAGAAAGGTGATGTCGTCTGGGTTAAAAATCCGCACAGCATGTGCACCACGAAATACGGAGTCGGACGCGTCACTGAGGTGATCAGCCCACAGGCGGTACGGGTCGACGGTGTGCCCCGTCACGTTAAGGACCTGCGTCCGTCGACGCAGTTGCAACCACCGCTGGACGATGAGAGCGAATCGGAATCTGAGACCAGTGAGGCATCGCTCTGGTTCACGCCAGCCCCATCAGGCAGTGACTCGGATATCAGTAGCCTTCCAAGGGACGCGGTGTCTTTCGACCCTCAGACCTCAGACAGGAGCACAAGCAACGATGAGGCTCGCAGCGTCCCTCTTCGAAGAAGTACCCGGCGCAAGCGATCACCACCTCCCTGTCAACTCTGTGATCATGAGATCAGGGGGAGTGTGGGGAAAATAGAAACGGCCTACCTCACAAACGTTCTCGCATCTGCCTGGCCTGTGGGTTGAGAAAGGAAAGAAAAGATTCAAAATGGCGTCCGTGACTTTTAATATTCACGGTCTCGTGCAGTCACGCAAAGTCGCGTTACACACATGCTAATGAGGTGTGTCTGGGCTCCATAAAAGCAGGTTGCTTGGAGACATTGGCAGACCAACATTTCACCCGTGCTTGGTGTACATCGTTTTGCGTTGCAGCGTGTCAGACATTTTCAGACGGAAAGAGTTGCGTCCCTTACACTGTTTAAGTCGACTCATTTGCTATTTACGTTGTAAACAACAGTTTATATAGTTTCTTTTCTTTTATGCCAGAAAGGAGTGACGAAATACACCCGACTTCTATATCGCTGTACCATTACCGAAATGTATCATATCGACTACTTTCACGTGGGAAACAACACGTGCGCTTCGGATTTTAGATCGCTTATCCTTTGAATTTAGCTCAAATTTCCTTTCATCGGAGAAGAGAACATTTAGTGAAAAAAATTCAGATGAGTCACTTTTATCGAACAGCACTGTATTTGTATGCAACAGATCACCGATATTCTGTCCAACAGAAGTGTACATTGATAGGTGTAAAGTTCGGAACTTGACACATTTCCTTATTATGCGCGTTGAGGAGGAATTTTTGATACGTACAGCAAATATTCTGTGTCCACATCGTATTTGTAACTCTAATGAAGTCATTTCATGAATGTAATTATTTCAGTGTTTTCTAATAAAAGACGTTGCATCATTTTAGATTCTTTAATGGAATCATCAATCACAAAGTGACAAGGTCAGTGGCTGAATCTCTCTTAATGATCGTTTATCAAGTTCACTTAAACAAACATTTTGTTTTACCTTTCTTCTGGCAGATAGTTGTGAACCATCAGTTCGTTCAGAGAAACACAGACGCCTGAAACTAAATAACTATAAGAAATCACACAATCATGAATACAACTACACCAAAATAATTATTAAAATGCACATATACATGTATTAAAACACACACACACACACACACATATATATATATATATATATATATATATATATATATATATATATATATATATATATTGCAATCAACAGCATCGTCTAGCATGGCATATGATTTCCTGCTCGCACAACAATCGACGCTCTCAAATTGTTTTATCTACCCAATTTCCCTCACAAGGTTTGGGTCAGCTAGTGGTATGGCTTTCAGGCACTTTCCAAAGGTGCCGCACGGTAAGATCGCCTCCCTCAGACGGATAAAATCAGGGTCACCTTTCTTCCAGATAAATTGACCATTGTGAAATTCGAAACTAAGTCTCATGTCAGAAAGTATATATATATATATATATATATATATATATATATATATATATATATATATATATGCAGGTCGTGTTTATGTTTTCCTTACTTCCAAAGATATTATTAAATAATACACGTGACTGAAAACAATGTCCCGTTTATTTTTAAAATGTGTTTATTTCGTCTACTGACCTGCACATTCGAGAAAACATAATAAAGAAACTGTTTACTAAAAATACTAAATATGGACAATAAGAATATATAGGATTAAAAAAACAGCCAGTGGCGACAGACACTTTCATTCTTAAACACAATCGATGCCTAGCAATTATGTTCTAGAAAGCACAGTATACATATATATATATATATATATATATATATATATATATATATATATATATATATATATATATACGGTGATTTTTGAATTTATAGATCTGATGAATTGGATAGTGATTACGATTCCAATTTAATAAATTATAACCATGGAATATTAGTGTTTGAGCCTTTTATCTATCTATCTATCTATCTATCTATCTATCTATCTATCTATCTATCTCTGTATGTATATATATATATATATATATATATATATATATATATATATGGTGCAATATCGTAATCCGTGGGACATTTTCAGGGTGGGGATATAGATTCAGCGAGAGCTCTATGTCAAAAGACGGAGCAAAATTCTTATTAATTAAAAATATCATACGCCAAAAACTCTGCTCCCAATCTTCAAGACCTACAAACAATTTTTTCTGTAGGTCTTGAAGACTGAGAACTACTTTTTTAGACCGCTCATGAAATAAAATAGGATTTTAGGTGTTTGATATTTTTTTAATATATATATATATATATATATATATATATATATATATATATATATATATAATTATTTTTTTTTTAAATTATAACATAAATATGTTATAAAATCACTACAAAAATAGCCATTTTGTTTCAACACCCCTGGTGTCTTATCAAGTGATGATGGTGAATGCAAAATAAATGGTTTTCAAAGTTTAAAATTAAATAACGGTCCTTCGCAAAGGGAAAACGCTGTTACGAAAGTTAGAATGACCAATCAACATACAAGTATAGGAAATACTTGACAACGGAGTCATGTTATAATAACTATTCAAATCTTTAAAATACGGGTAATATTAAAAAAGAATTTATTCTAATCAACAATTACTAAATTCTATAATAAAATCTGATATTAAAATTTAAAACTGCCAATTTTAAAATCCAAATTTAAACACTATTAATTTTAAAATTTATAAAATTACTGAGGAGAAAAGAAGAAATACATATGTTATTCAATTTATTTCTTCGTTGAAATTACGTTAGAACAGACGCTACTTCATCCGGTCATCCGACAATATATATGTATACATTTTAATCCCAATATATATATATATATATATATATATATATATATATATATATATTAATCCCAATATATATATATATATATATTAATCCCAATATATATATATATATATATATATATATATGTATGTATGTATATTTCATAAAAAACGACCGACAAGGTACTACGGTTAAGCTTTTTATTTAATTTTTCTTGTATTCGAACGAAAGCTTACTTTTCTGGACAAAGAGCGTGTAAAACTCTCCAAATGTTTTATATTACCGAGCGCTTTCGGCTCTTCTTTTAGCCATTATCAAGGATGATTTCGATTTTTTCAGCTAAATTGATTGTGTGCATTACGTGTGTTTCTTCGTGTGTAGTAGGAATGTTTTAATTTCCGAATACGGTTAGCACATTGTGGCCTTGTATATATATATAATGCGTGTGTAATATGGTGTAGGGTGTTTTGATGACTTTATGTCATAATGACAATAATGAATAGATTAACAGATTTTACACGTATAATATTGAAAGTAAAGCACAAAAACTAATCAAAAAATTGATTTATAAATATTGTGAGACCGGAAACTACCTACACAATAGACTCTTCCAGGCCTATATTAATTATGCGACACAACACTTTACAGAGTGACAGAGAATGACACTGAGAGATAGAGACACAGTGACAGCCGCGTACGACTACCAGTATTGGACACTAACATATAGGAAGCTCCGCTTACACTATCTCTGTAATCTGTTGTTAATATATCTTTCTTACATCTAATCCGTGTTCAGTGTTTTACTTCTGTGGTCCCAACTTTGGCCCCACATCAATAAATATATTTACAGGTTTTTACTCTAGAAAACCTAATGAAAACAGACCAGCTATAGACCGGGCGCAGCATTAACGCTAGCGTACGGACAAACAGGATATAAATTCTATTAAACTTTTCTTGTTGCTCTGCCGCGGACCGAAATGTATTCATTCCTAATTATTTATTTAACATCATTTGGAAATAAACGTGACATCTCAAGCAAGAATAAAGAACAATCCCACAAGATGAATTAAACCCAATTCTATCAAAGAAAATTATTCTTAATCTATCTTCTTTTTCGTCGATGTAGATGATGGCTCTTCACATCTTCCTCCTCTTTATAACTGTCGCCAATATTTGTCTTTATGCTATCGAGTCTAATTCCTGTTCTAACGACCATTTACCATCGTGTGTCATTTAGGTTATTCGCTGTTTTCCCGTAGTCTACTAGCTATCAGTATAACGTGTGTGTGTAAAATTTTCGAAACCTTCTTTCCTCAAACTTTCCTCGGTAATTTTTAAAGATTTTTCTCTTATTCTAAATATAAGTTTCTTTTTGTTTCCTTTCTCCTTGAAACTTTGTCTTTGTCCAAATCTTCCGTCCATTATTTTCTCATAATTCTTCTGCAGAAAACCATTTCTGTCACCTCTTCTTTCCTCATCATATGTCAAAATATTGTCCAGCATTTACTGTAGTATTTGAGGTCCGATGTTACATAACATTCCAGTACATTATTTTCTAATCAAATTTTTCCTTATCATAACTTGCTCAAAATTTGCATTTTATCTTTTGCTATCCCAATACACCTTCAGATTTCAAATTTCGGTGCCATATTTTCTATCCTATAGCAGTTAATAGGGTGGGGGTACCGGAGGTGTTTTTGAGCCGTCGATGGTCGAGAGAGCACGAAATCCCAAACCATCGTGACACAGGTTTTTATCGTGTTATGAGTATTCATCTCGCCAGATAGTTATCTCCCAGAAACTGTAAAAATTATCTGCTGACAATTCTTGCAATATAATACACTGGCAGGTGGATTATATTGCAAGCTTTTGGTAGCTATTGGTAGCTCTTTGGGGTGTCGGAAAAATACATATATGCCTGAGCAGGCTTCTGCAACAGGGATTTGGTTAGGCGTCTTAGCAGACACGCATACTCTGATACCAGTGGAGAGCAATTAATATTAAGATACATATGCACGCATTCGTGTTTCTTGAAATAATAGAAAGTTAAATGCTAAAATAAATTTCTTCTCCCTTCATCAATTAAACTTATTTTCGAAAAAAAACATATTTCGGAATTCAAGAACGACGAATCTTGATCGAATACACGACACATCCAAAAAAAAAAATTCCTCCTTTAAAGATATTATTTTTTTTAAATAACTTTGGGAAAATTATTTTGGAAAATTTTGCTGAATTCAGAACTGTACACCCTAAGAAATGTAACTATATTAAGATACCCTTATGCACTTTTAGTATTTGCATTTAATTTTAAACTGTTTAGGCGAAATCAAATAACTAAAATATATTGAAATTTTTCTCGAGACTGGAAAAAATATAATCGTATGTACAGTAGTCTATAAATATTCATACATCCCACTTTTCTTTAGTTTACAATTTTCCCCAAACCATATATTTTCCAATTCCATACTTTTATTAAAAATAAAATAATCTTGAAATACTTTTTATACATTCTATATATTTTCTTGACTGTCTCTTTATGTATTCCACATTTTCACACACCCACGCACCGTTATCTATCTATCTATCTATCTATCTATATATCTATCTATCTATATATATATATATATATATATATATATATATATATATATATATATATATATATATATTTGTGTATTTAGGCAGCAATCCTTCTTCATGTACATTTCATTGAATACATGAGACAAGGTGCTTATATTTAGTTTTTATACAATTTCTCATGCGATGTAATATTTATTTTTCCTTTTCGGATGATAAATTATATATATGTTTTATAAAATGTTTTCATTTTTCAAATCACGGTCGAGATATTGTGTCCATGTTCAAAGTTAATATTAACTACTTTTCTTTTTGGTTTTATCAGTAAGCCTTCCATTACATTTAGCCATTTTTTGCATCTAGATGATGCAGTGTATGTTACGAATAGTGTCCGGTAGGTCTCCATGAATATTTGAATGACATCAAATTGGGCTATCCTCAGAAAGGTGTAGGTTGAGTCCGTGTGTCAAACATGTTTTAGTGTGGCCTATATAATTATTTACCAATTTTGATTGATCAGGAATACAATTCCTTAATAGGCATTTAAATTAGTAAATAGGATTTCCCGTATTTGATTTTGTTCTAGGAGGTTAATTATTATTTTTAACTATATGGTTAGCAGTTTTAAATTTTTTGTAAGAAATAATTAATCTACCTTTTTTTTTTTGCTCTTGAGCGTGATTTGAAAAATGAAAACATCTTATAAAACATACTTACAACAAACCATTTTTATTCAACAGTTAAAATATTTAATCCTTGAAAATGGCTAAATGTATAGCCGAAAGCTCTCAGATAAAAAGAACATTCGAACAGTTTTCATATAATTTATGATCCGAAAAGAAAAAATATATATATACCGTTTGAGAAATTGTATAAAAGCAAAATAAAAGCATCTTGTCTGTCGTATTCAATGAAGTATATATATATATATATATATATATATATATATATATATATATATATATATATATATATACACACATACACACACACACACACATATATATATATATATATATATATATATATATATATATATATATATATATATATATATATATATATATATATATTATGTATTATTTTGCTACCTACAATCTGACGGTGTGAAAAAAAACAGATAATGCAAATTGTATATATATAAAAAAAACCGATATTAGGGGAAAATCAGTAAAAATTAGGAGGACTAAAGACATCCATGTTGGTCGAAAATAATCAATCAGCACCACAATGCCTGATCAAAAGACAAAAACACCGACAGAGTAAATGAAGTAAAAACGTAAAATTGCTGAATTCATTAAGTAGTGCAAAATTAAAAAAAATAAACAGTGTGAGCCAGAACCTACCTATTTTTTTTTCTGTAGTTCACTGCTAACAGCAAGCAGAAATATTTAATTTCTCCTCCCGATGATGGCCATTTCGGTCGAAACTAGTCGAGGAATCTAAATGGAATAATAATAATAAAAAAACGAAAGAATATTAATCTACAACCCAGTGTGTCTAATGATTTTAATTTTTAATTTTTAAATTTTTATTTTCTTATTGTTCAAAATATATATATATATATATATATATATATATATATATATAAAAAGTTTCAAATTAAAAAA